AACATTAGGAAACAAAAAGTCAGAAGAGCCAAACAGGTCTACAAGGTGGATGCCTTATAATTTCCCATTGAAATTCTTGCAAAATTGCCCTTGTTTGATGAGAGGAATAAGCAGGAGCATTGTCATGGTAGAGAAGAACTTTCTGGCAAAGCTTTTCCAGGTGTTTTCTGCTAAAGCTTTGGCTAACTTTCTCTAAACACTGTCATGATAAGCAAATGTTATTGTTCTTTGTCCCTCCAGAAAATCAACAAGCAAAATGCCTTGAGCATCCCAAAAAACTGTTGCCATGACCTTTGCTTTTGACCAGTCCACTTTTGCTTTGACTGAGCCATTTCCATCTTGTGGTAGCCATTGCTTTGATTGTGTTTTGTCTTCAGGAACAAATTACCTATTTGTAAACAGCTGATTTCTTTGGGGCATTGTCCCCATAAGCTTTTCGAATAGCAGCAATGATTTCACTTTTCTTCCACCTAAGCTTTCCTGTAAATTTGATGTTTGTTCTTGCTTCAATTTTAGTAGAATTTAGGTTGCTCTGAGAGGGGCTCTTTTTAAGCTGATGTCTTATCCTATTTAGTTCCTCAAACTAGATCTTGTTCAGACATCATAACAAACTAATCTGAGTTTATTTTGGTGCAAAAAAACTTTGCAATCCATGAAGAGTTTTTTTTCATAATATCCATTTTCCGTGACCTTTTTGAAGACCTGTAGTATAAACATTCAAAAAGATGCTATCAATTTAGATTGTTTTTATATTGAGCATAAGCATTTTAGAAGTATTTAATAAAATAATCTTTCTGGTAAGCTCTAGCTGATTCAGAACTTTGTGAGTGACTCTCACACAGGTAGATATCCTTGAAATGGGTTAGGGGTGTCCGACCAGATATAAACAGGGTCTTTAAAAAAAGATTTCTGGGAATGACTGAAATTCCCACCCAGAGAACCACATTTTTCCAGAACAGGTTGGTTGTGTGCTAGATGGCTGTTGTTGACTTAAGATTCCCAGAAGTTCTAGGATTCTTTTAAAAGCTCAGTGACCAGAATGTTGGGAGAAACAATATGAGATTCAGAAGGGACTATGAAGAGCAATTTAGTCCAGTGATTTTTACAGTGTAGTTTGCAGACCACCTGAATAATTATTTGAAAAATTTCTTTAAAATGCAGACTCTTGTGCCCAAACTCAGCCTATTAATCAGTGTCTTTAGGGATAAGGCTGAGGAAGTCATGATTTAAAAATAAAAAAAAAAACCTCAGGTGATTCCTGTTGCCACTAAAGTTTGAAAACCACTATCATAAAGCAGCTAACAACTGAAGTGATATAACATGGCACAGAGGACATATTTACTAAGTGAATCAGCTATACAGGGTGGGAGAAATATTTGCACATCATATATGTGACAATGGACTTATATCTGTGGTATATAAAGAACCTACAAAATTCAATATTAAAAAAAACCCAAGTAGAAAATTGACAAAATACATGATGGAACATTTCACTGAAGAGAATATATGGATGGCAGATAAGCACATGAAAAAATGTCCAATATCACCAGCTACTAGGGAAATGCAAAGTAAGACCAAAGACAGATATTGCTGTATACCTGTTAGAACAGCTAAAATAGAAAATAGTGACAATAGAGTTACTGGGGAGGATGCAGAGAAACCGAATCTCTCATACGTTACTGATGGGAAGATAAAATGGTACAGTCACTTTTGAAAACTGTTGAGGAGCTTCTCACCTAAATATATACTTACCATATGACTTGGGTAATCATACTCTTGGGCATTTATCCCACAGAAATGAAACATATTCACACAAAAACCTGTACACAAATGTTCATAGGAGCTTTATTTGTAGTACCCAAAAGTGGAAACAACCCAAAAGTCCTACAGTAAGAGAATGATTAAACAAACTGGCACAGTCTTACCATGGAATACTACCCACCAATAAAAAGGAACAAACTATTGATAAACACGACAACTTGGATAGATCTCCAGGGCATATGCTGAGTGGAAAAGAAAAAAAACAAAAAACACTCTTGACAGAGATTTCAGACAATATTATAAAGATGGAGGACAAATTAGTGTTCCTAGGAGATGTGAATGTTGATCGAAAGGAAAGTGGACATAAATTTAAAGGGGTAGCATAAGGGAGATTTTTGTGGATGGAATACCTCTATATCTTGATTGGGTTGGTTCTTACACAAATGTACAAATACGATAAAATGATATAGAACTATACACTCCCATTGTACTCATTCCAGTTTCCTGATTTTGATATTTTACTATAGTTATATGAGGAATAACCATTAGGGGACAATAGCCAGGAGGTACATGGGATCTTTCTGTACTATTTTGGCTAATTCCTGTGAAGCTATAATTATTTCAAAATAAAAAGTAAGAAAAAAAATGTATTATTTCACCTTCTTTAATGCCAAATTACTTTTTATTTTGCTATTGACACTCAAATACTATAAAAACAAAAGATCTACATTGCAGTCAATTTTTTAAAAAATAGATGTTGGTAATAGAATATTCATTTATTTAGTAATTGGTAGAAATTACTAAAATCAATGTATTTAGTTCATTACCAAATTTATAAATATGATGAATGCTTGGACATATAAAAGACAGAAGAATATGTAAAAATTCCAGGTTTGTTTTTCCAAAATAATTTTATACTTTTAAAAGATCTGTGCTTTTATGATTGCTTAAACTTTTAAAGGGCTAAATTCTAGTGTTACTTCTGATTTAGAATTAATGTAGGTCATCATGGAACATTGTTACAATCTTTTTGAGATCTGAAAATGCATGTGATGTAAAAGTTTATAATATGATAAGTAAATTTATGTTATGATCACTACAAAGTAAGCAAAAAATAATTTTAGAAAGCCAGCATTTATTGAGAACCCATGTATTATTTATTGTCACTATATGGAAGTTGTGGTATAGAAAGGTTAACTTGCTCAGGTTTACATATGCAATTTGTTTTGCATATATTTGTAATTAGTTTTAAATAATTGAAGAAAAAAGGTTAGAAGTATATAAAGTGAAACTGTATAAATCGGATTATTATATCTGCTAAGGTTTGGAGCTGGGATTCTAAACACAGGTAGTCTGATTCTAGAGCTTGCTCTTAATCACTGTACAATATTACTTCTTTAACAATACTGTTTTAAGAATCCTGTGTAGAAGTATTTTTTTGGAATCTCAGTCTTCAAATCATTGCTACCTATGTTCAGAATACTGAAAATGGCTACTAATTTTCTATGATGATTTATAGGTCCTCTGAATAGTGCCACATTTTGTTACTAGTGGAAGTTTGTGTCATTCATTCATTTATTAATTTCATTTCATTTTGTACAATTTCATCTAATTCTTTACTGGCTGGGGTCAGGGAAGGAGGCAGCCTGAGACATAAAAGCTATGGCCACTGTAGAGGGAAATGTAGACTTGAGAACATCATGGATTCATTTTTTTTTTTTGCCTAAAACTAAGGTCAATGAGAAATGGGACAATGAAATACTCAGCAAAAAGTGGAAGAAAGCTACATTATTTTATTTTACATTTTGCAAAGTGAAAATATATCCACCGCTTTTGATTGGAAATCAGAGCAAACACTTTTCCTAAAGTGAGAGATTGTAAAGTGACTAGCCTGTTTGCTTTGGAACCTTAATATATGTTTCCTGAATCTTCCTATAAGCAAATCAACTGATCTTTCTCTAGCATAATTGAAAAAATAGGTTTTGAGGAATCAATATAAAGCGAAGCTATAATAGATTGGTTTATTGTCTTACCAGCAGAAATGTAGCTGCACAATTTATTTTTAGAGGGTGCTATTTCACTGTTGAGTGATCAAGATATTTATGAGCTTTATTTAATATCCGATGTATTTAGATGAGCTAGTGGAATTCGTTCAGTCCACAAGTTTATAAAATCACATATAAGTGAAACAGAATTTTGAGGATTTATTTACTCATATATCCTCAGTCTTCCCACAGCTCTTCCCACCTGTCTCAGGATCACTTTAATACCAGAGATGACAATCATCTTTTTGTGTAATTTATACTGAATACAGTAGTATGAAAATTGATATGTGTTCAAAATTTTCTCTTCATCCTCCTTAAGAACACAGAGAAGTTACTGCTTTTTTTCTGACACATTCTGCTTCTTTGTGGAACGTTCTGCTACTTAACATTTGTAACACTGGGTTTATTTCTAAGATGTTCTTTTGAGTATTTTAAAGATAGGTTCATAGCACTTTTTGCTTCTATTTTCAAAACTGATTTTACCGGTGTCACCTGGGCATAATGAGATGCTAGTTGTTATTTTCCAAGAACAACATAAGAGAATTTCTAGTCTGGACATGAATTTCAGGTCATTTCTGTTAGCTGCTGCCTTTCCATAGCTCTCTTCTGTACCTGTCACTAGTGACTGCTGAGAAGTGATTGGGTACGATCTTAGGAGCATGTCCTGTGGTGTGTGGGCTATCATGTACCATGAGGATTTGAAAATCTATCATACACTGAGGGAGGCATCACTATTTCTTTAATTGTAAGTGGTTTGTGTGTATTTATGTACATGTATGGCTTTTTCCTTGGGTTATAAGTACAAATTTTTAAGAATTCTGATGGTGCATTTTTTAAAGTATTCACTTTAATAATTCCAAACAGACAATTATTGCTGCTTTTGCTGTTGGTCCTGTTCAGGATTCAGTATCATTAAAAGAATAGAGGGCTGGACAGTTAGCTCAGTTGCTTAGAGTGTGCTGCTAACACCAAGGTCCATGGTTCCATTGTTGTACCAGCCACCCGGCCAGCTAAGAGGGAAAAAAAATAAAAGAATAACAGAGCTCCTTGTTATTTCTCTGTTGTATAGTAGTTCTTGACTATTTCTTTCTTTTTTTTTTTTTTTTTTCTTTTTTTTTTGTGACCGGTAAGGGGATCGCAACCCTTGGCTTGGTGTTGCCTGCACCACACTCAGCCAGTGAGCGCACGGGCCATCCCTATATAGGATCCGAACCCGCAGCGGGAGCCCTGCTGCGCACCCAAGCACTGCACTCTCCTGAGTGCGCCACAGGGCCAGCTCGTTCTTGACTATTTCTAATGTCACAGATTTTGTTTTTATGATTTGATAAAGCTATCTCTCAAATTCTCATTCTCTCTGCACACATATAGACACACATATGCACAGATACATACACCCACACATGCATGAACATACATGCACATGTATACACATATATACACAGTTTTGCATACAATTCCAGGTGTTTCATAGATTCCATGAGTTCCAGGTTTAGTATTTCTGCATATAGAACCTAGAGTTTTTGTTAATGAAACTTAAATGCTCCCCCTTCCCTCAATTTGCACTGGCATTAACAGCTTTATATTTTCCCCCTGTTAGCAGAGCCTGAGCAGCACCGAGACCAGCTTTCTCATCAGTGAAGAATCAACGGTAAGCAATGATGGGTACTATCTTTTCCTGTTTAAACACGAATAAGGTGTCTTTTTATAATCTGAAGTGGTGATGCTCTTTCCCAGTTCAGTTATTTTACATGCCCCCATACATAGTATTTGAGAATTTATTATATTAGAAAAAAAAAAACATTTTCGTTAGAGAAAAAAAATCAAACTTATTTATGAGAATAACACATTAATCATTAGCACTTTGCTTGCATTTTAATATTTCCCAGGTTTGCAAATGAGAAAATGAAAGGTCGAAGAGGTTTAATGTCTTGACCAAAATTATTCATATGTTTAATGGGTAGATCCTAGACTAGAACTCAAGTTTCTGAGGCCTAGTTCAGTATTCTTTCTTCATTACATCACTCTTCTTATCTTGAAGTACATGCCTAAGAATAATAATGAAGTATAATTTATTTATTTAAAAAATTTGAATATTAATTAAATGGTTTATAAAGGGACATTTTTTTTTTATTATTTGCGTTTGGCCTGGGAATCTGAACTGTTGAGCTTGGTGTTATAGGGATGTAATATTTTTATTAGTTCCTTAGTAAATAAAAGATGCTGTTTCGGAAGATGGGGAACTAGAGTTAAATTTTGATACTGACTATTTATTGATTTTTTTGGCAGCTGGCCAGTTAGGGGATCTGAACCCTTGACATTGTTGTTATACATACTGATAATTTTAACATAGATAATAGTTTGCTTTTCACTTGGGTGCTAATCTTTAGTATTGGGGTCAATCAAATAAAAATAATTGAAATTTTTTGGGGTTTTATTTATTTATTTTTTGATTGTATAAAACATTTGTATGATTCCAAAGTTGAAAACCGTAGATTGAGACAGGTCTATTTCTTTATTTATGTATTTATTTGTTTGTTTGTTTGTTTTTGGCTATTGGCTGGTATGGGGATCTAAATATTGAATAAGGTCTAATGAAGCCTAAATCTTATACAATTTTGGTGTCACTCTTTTTTTTTTTCTTCCAAATTTTATTTTATTTTGTCAATATACAATGTGGTTGATTATTGTGGCCCAAGTACTGAAACCTCCCTCCCTCCTTCCTCTCCTCCCTCCCTCCCAACAATGTCCTTTCTGTTTGCTTGTTTTGTCAATATACAATGTGGTTGATTATTGTGGCCCAAGTACTGAAACCTCCCTCCCTCCTTCATCTCCTCCCTCCCTCCCAACAATGTCCTTTCTGTTTGCTTGTCGTATCAACTTCAAGGAATTGAGGATTGTAGTTATGCTCTATCTCAGTAAGGATGAATAAATTATTTGGAATTCTTCTATATGGGAAGACTGCCTTCCTTCTTTCCTTTATTTTCCTTCTTTCCTTCCTTTTCTTTTCTTCTTTGCTTCCTTCCTCCCTCTCTTTCTCTCTTTCCTTCTTTGTCTTTCCTTCTTTCTCTCTCTCCTTCCTTCCTTCTTTGTTTCCTTTCTTTTTTTTTAATCAGTATGGACTTAGGGATATTTATTTTATACCTTATGTTATAAGTCTAATACTACTTTATTTATTTTATTGCTCAGATTGTTCTAGCTTTATCTATTGGGAGCTTTTCCACTGACTCCTGAATCCCTTAGACATACCCCTATTATTTTTGTTTTGCTTTTAGCATTTTCTTCCTCTCTGATACTATAAGTTGCTTCAAGCTCATCTTGAACATTTCTTGCCTCAGTACTAAAGTCAGCCATTTTTTCCAGGGACTTTTTTTTTTTTTAATATTATAGAAGTATCACTAAAAATCTACATCATTCAGGGCCCTATTAGACATACTTAAAGCAGGATAATTTGAGGAGGGCTTAATAAAGAAACTTTTACAAAAACAGGGTGCAGGAGAATACCAGTATATGTCGGTCTAGTAACCATGAATTTATTGTCATCCATAGAACGGAAGTTATTGGAACCCCGAAGGAGAAAGTCATATACTTAAGACATTCTTCAGAGGTTCAGTAACCTTCAGTGGAGGGATACAGCCTTCCCGAATCCAATGTTAGGAAGGAAGACAGTCTGTTTCCTTCCTACAATCATCTGTGGGAAGCCAGAGATGAAGGGTGTTCTTTGATATGTATACTGGTCACCCTCACAGGACAGAAAGCAAGATGGAAAGGTTTGGAGAGGGGATCTGCTGGTACAAACCAAAGATACCCAGCAGAATATCATCGGACATACTTGCTTTTTGGAAAAAAAAAATGGAGTCTGTGGTTTCTGCTAGTATTATGATAGGACTTCATCATATGGACAATTTAACATAATTTAATATTTTACTTGTAATTAAGTAGTCAACAGTGGATTTAATTGACTATCTAAATTGTTACCTAACTTGCCAGTATAGAAGGGTCACAAAAACTATTAAATGAAATATAGAAAGAAGGAGACAATTGTACTTAAGATAACCTGTCTTAGAGTGTGTACCGTGTGTGTTTGGAAGGAATAATTTGTTAATAATTTGGTAAGTTTAATGAGAGAAGAATGGGAATTGAAAAGGCACACTAGAGGCATACTTTAATAATGACAGATATGCCATTAACAGGTTTTGAAGGAATGTGGGTTTTGATAACATCAGGGATCATATTCCAAATATTTAACAACTGATATGGCATAGGCACAAACCAATCAGAAGGGACATTTGAATAAATTCACCAGAATCAATCAGTATGAATAAGCACAGTATTTATAATAGAGCTATGTATATATTTAGATATTATTACTCCAGGGTTCAGACATCTTAATTCATTCTCCTAGTGATTTCATCCAGTTTTATGGCTTTAAATACAATTGATATGCCATCAACTCTCAATTTAAGTTTCTAGTGTAGACATCTTTCCTGAACTTCACCCTTAAGTATCCAAGTGCTCTCCCAGTAATGCATTTGGATATCTAAAGTACATCTCAAGATTAATATGTCTAAAATGTAATTCTTGATATTCCCCTACAAAAATCTGCTTTGTTGAAGTCTTCCACATCTCAGCTATATACAACCCATTCTTCTATTTGCTCAAGTCAAAAATTTCATAAAAAATTATCGTTATGGGCCGAGCCCGTGGCACACTCAGGAGGGTGCGGCGCTGGGAGCGTGGCAGCGTTCCCGCCGCGGGTTCGGATCCTATATAGGATGACCGGTGCGCTCACTGGCTGAGCGCAGTGCGGCCGGTCTCAAAAAGGACAAAAAAAAAAAAAAAATTATCGTTTTTGGTTATACATTCCATGCAATAAAATGCACCCATACTAAGTGTATACTTTGATGAGTTTTAACAAACTACAACAATCAAAAGGTGGAAGATTTCCATTACCCCAAAAAGCTCCCTTTTGCTGTTTCATCCCTACCCTCTCCTAGGCAACCATGGATTTGCTTTTTTTTCTCTAATGTAGTATGTAAATTGCAAGTTACATATTATTTGTTCTCTAGCTTTTGGTTTGTTCTGCTCAGCATAATGTTTCTGAGACTCATCCAAAACTTCAAATGGTAATGATAAAATTGGTTCTTGTTGAATGTCTGTAGTTTTTTTGTTGTTGTTTATTTGTTTTATTGCTGAATAGTATTCCATTGTATGGATATACCAAAATTTATTTATGCATTCATCCATTAATGGATATTTGAGTTATTTTCAGTTTGGGGACCATTATGCATAAAGCTGTACTGAACATTCATGTAAGAAGCGTTTGTATAGATGTATATTTTGATTTTGGGGAAGTAATTTCCAAGGAGTAGAATTTCTGGTCATATGGAACATGTATGTGTAACTTTATGTGAAACTACGAAACTACTGTTGGCCGTTCATATCTGTAGGTTTAGATGGCTTCATGCATCCATGGATTCAACCAACCATGGATCAAAAATATTTGAAAAAAAAATGCATCAGTAGTCAACATGTACAGACATTATTCCCTAAACATTATAGTAACAACTATTTACATAGTATTTATGTTATATTAGGTATTATAAGTAATTTAGAAATGATTTAAAGTGTATAGTCGGATGTGCATAGGCTATATGCAAATACCATGCTATATTATATCAGGGAATTGGGCAGCAGATTTTGGTATCTGCAGGAGATCCTGGAACCAATCCCCCGTGGTTACCAAGGGACTCCTGTATTTTTAAAAGTGGTTGTACCATTTGTAGCATTTGATATTGCCAGCTTTTAGTTTTAGTAATTCTGGTAGATGGGTAGTGGTATTTGTGATTTCAGTTCTTGTTTCCCTGTTGAATAATGATGTTGCCTGTATTTTTGTGGGCATGTTGGGTATTCATATTATCTTCTTTTGTGAACTATCTGTTCAAATCTTTTGTGCATTTTTAAAAATGAGGTTGATTATTATTTTATTGACTTGCAAGAGTTGTTTATATATTCTGGATGCAAGACCTTTGTCAGCTGTATTTATTGTGAACATTTTCTTCCAGTCTTTACTCGTCTTTTCATTTACAGTGTTTTAAGACGAGCAAATTCAAATGTTTTGAAGTTCAATTTCTTGTCTTTTTTTTCTTTTATGGTCCATGCTTTTTGTGTTCTATCTAAGAAATATTTACCTACACTAAGTAGGTATTACTAAGTAATACTAAGTAGGGGAGATTCACAGATTTTCTTCAGTTTTATAGTGATAGCTTTTATGTTTAGGTTTATGTTTGGGTTAATGCTAATCCAGGGCCCATAAAAGTCATAATGCAGCCCTGCAGAGCTTAGCGTAGAACTCTTTCATTTCCCTTAACAATTCTGTACTGAATTTAGGGAAACCATTTGAGAAGAACAGTAAACTGTGAATCTCATGAAAGATACTAAGAAAATCAAAGTGCTGAGGTGAAAATGTGAGGCCATGAAGTATATAGTATAAAATATACTTTTAACAATGACTAACATTCATCTTGTACCTGTTGTACTTTTTAAAATAACAATACTGACTCCTCTATGTACCTGTTGTGTTTTTAAATAACAATACTAACTCCTCTATGTATACATAGAAACCTCAATAGTTTACACAGCAGTAATTTTTCACTCTAATATTTATCAGTTGTTTAGGCCTCTTCAGCCAAGTCTAGGAAGAGAACAATTTAAGTATAATTTGCATGACAAGAACTGAACTCTCTTAATGATAATTTTATTAGATCATTTATCCTTTCTTTACACTATGAAATATGCACAATCCTTTCATTATCGTGTGTGGTCTGGTTTCCTTTAAAATATTATTGATTATCCTAGATATTTTTAGGTAATTGCCTTGGTATTTTAACTAATGACCATGGTAATTGAAGATTGGCAACAACTTAGTATTTAAATAATTGAATGACATTTCCTTTTTTCCAGTATTTTGGGAGAGGTCATGAAATATTTAAAAAGGAACCCTGGGTAAACTTTCTATACCATACATCATCCCAGTATAATTATAGTAATTTTGCTTTCTTTGTCTGATATATGTAGGCAAACTTAACAGAATATCTGTTTTACTTTGTGTTTTCGTTATTTCCATGTTTTCCTTCATTATTCTTTTTTTCTATCTCCTTTCTTTCTTAATCCAATTCCACAAATACTTACTACTTAACGTCACTATATAAAGAATTTAGGAGATTTTACTTTGAAGCCTCTTCTTTTTTTCCTTTTATTTTTTTATTGTTTTCTTTCTGTTTTTTTTTTCTTCTTAACTTCTTGCTAACTTCTCTACCCTCCAGCTTTAAATATCACACACACATGCACATTTATAGAGTTGTCATACTGAGGGTTTGTTTGTTTGTATATCTGTTATTTGGAATCTTTACTTTAATCCTGGGCAGGATTTGCTAACTCTCTATTGGTTGCTTCACAGCCTGCAAAGAGATACAATTTGTTCCTGAGACGGCGTCTTATGGTAAAACCAATGCTGAATAATGCTGCTTATGCTCTGGATGGCTGTAGTAATAGCATGGGTCATTTTTTCTTCCAGTGAAAACTATTGATTTGGGGGGAATTGTCACAGATTCGTAATCCCTAGGCAATTGAAGTTTCAGTGGTGATTCTTAATCTTTTTTGGATCTGATAAAATCTATAGAGCCTCTTTCTAAGAATGTATAAATGCACACACACACACACACGCACACGTGTTCATAGTTTACATATTTTCAGAGGTCTATGAACCCTATTAAGAATACAGATTTATGAACCTTAGAATAACGACATCATTCAAAGAGAAGCCATTCAGGTGTTTGCTTCATTTTTAAATAGGCATTTCTAGGAACAAATCAAATATAAATACAAATAAACAGACACATACACTGCAAAATATGATCTTAATGTCATGTTTTGGGCAATACAAAAGCATGATGTGTTTTAATAGTATGCAGTTATGTTAACAAAATTATCAGTGTTTTTCTGCCCCAGTTAGCTTTAACCAGTTTTTGTTAACAGCCCTAAGACATGAATGTACTCATGGTGATTTACAAGACTGCCAGTGATTTTTTTTTCATATTTAAAAAAATAATATTACAGTTTACAGTCAAGGCACAATATAACTATAGAAATTTGGGTTTTTCTAGGTAGTCTTTGGATTTCAGGAGAAGGAAAGTAAATATACCCCTTTTGTCTGTGCACTCAGGAAAAATAATTAGAATCACTATACTGTTAGCTGCTTTGTCTATTCCCTAATTGTCAAATGTTCTGAGTGTGATTTTTGTTGATTTCTCTATGCACATCTTCTGTCACAGAAAGTACTCTTGTGGACTTAAATTTAGCTTGTTTAAAAACAATAGAGCACTTGTAAATGTATCAGTTATTTTTTTTCTAAAAAAAAGACTGTCATAAACTTAGAGCAAAAGGACTATTGTTTTTTTTACCTCTAATTTGTCCTTTGATTATACTTAGTCTTATTAGTGTTTATTTTTTCTACTCCAGTTGGCTTTTACAAATTTTGGTGAATTTCATAAGATATGCTAATGCTGTGATTTTTTACAAGAGTGCCAATGATTTTTTTGCTTCCTTTTGTTTTCCTTTGCCCTTTTTTTTTTTAGTGGTTTATAACCAAGGTATACCATCATAGCAGTTTGAGTTTTCTCAGTTTATTTTCTTTTCTTTTAGGAAAGGGGAGATGATTATGCGTCCTTTGGCTGAGGTGCGGAGAACTCAGACATAACATTTGAGTTAATGTATTTTGATACTTAATCTCTAGACTTGCTAGATGTTTTTTGTCTATTTGTTCATTTTTCCACTCATTCTCTCTGTGCATTGGGAGGTAGTGTTTTCTGAGACGTATCAAGCTATATGCTCATATATAAATAGTTACTCTGTTTATAAGCCAGAGATCAAACATGAGATTGTTGTCTTATTTTCTTTTCTGAGAGACCTGTCTGACCTGACTTGGGTGAAAAATGGCATAGAGTGCCATAAAAGAAACTCATAAACTAATAGTGGTTGTGAAAATCAAAACCATCTGGTTCCCCATTTGCGGATTAGCTAAAGCAATTAGTAAATTGTCTCATTGTCATCCACTACATCATCCACTTGCATAATTCTTAGTATTACATGTGAACTATTACAAGTTAAATATATATAAACCATTAAGAAAGCCAAATCAGTCAAACATGAAATCCCTTATTTCTGAAGTTCTCTGGTGTTTTCGCTGTTTTGAAAGGGAAGTACTTAAGGCACTATACAACACGTGGTAGTTGAACTTGTAAGTTTTATTATACGGAGATAATTCATACAGCTTTAAACAAACCATTGATTTTGGCTCACCTGGGAAATTCATGTTGAAGAGAGATTTGCATGAGAGCTTAATTGTAGTAAGGCCAGCCAGCAAGCTTCCTGCTTTCTAATTTTTAACTGCACCTTGATTTTATTTTAATCCTTGAAAAGTTGAGTTAGAAAGTGGCACTTTTATGAAAACATAGTACAGTTGGCCCTCTGTGTCCATGGGTTCTGCATCCATGAACTCAACCAAGCTCAGATCAAAAATATTCAGAAAAAATTGTGTCTGTACTGAACATTTACAGACTTTTTTCATTGTCATTATTCCCTAAACGATGCAGTATAACAACTATTTCCATAATATACATTGTATTAGGTATTATAAGTAATCTAGATATGATTTAAAGTATACAGGAGGATGTGAATTGGTTATATGCAAAAATTACACCATTTTATATTAGGGACTTGAGCATCTGTGGATTTTGGTATCTGCTGGGGGGTCTTGGAACCAATCGCCCATGGATACTGAGGGACGACTGTATAAGCATTAATCAAGTTTATTTTCTTACAGTGAGATTCCATTAATTGGCCTGTAATTAATTATACCTCCAAAGTAGTATGTAACTATGACTTATTTAGTGGACTAGAGGGACGACTGTATAAGCATTAATCAAGTTTATTTTCTTACAGTGAGATTCCATTAATTGGTCTGTAATTAATTATACCTCCAAAGTAGTATGTAACTATGACTTATTTAGTGGACTGATATATCGTTTAATGAAGATAACAAGTCTGTCTGTGAATATATACATTTTGGGATCAATGTTTACCTCTATTCATTTTTTATTTTGGTATAATTGAAACATTTTGTTTTGTGTGCATATAGTGAATATGCTTAATTTACCCCTGAGTCACTATTGTTTGAACCCCTATATGGAATTTCACTTTATAAAACAAGAATAATCTTCTATTGATAAAAACTCTTGTTATTTGTCTTGACCTATCATTTCAAGACTGAAGAAAGAAATAGGTGGTAACCAAATTTTAGATAATCCTTTTCATGTTTTTGCCATTTGAGAAGAAAACTATAATTTAAAATTGTGTTATTTATGTCTCCTGCAGTTTCAAAAAAATAAACAAAGCAAAGATTCTATCTTCTTCCGAGATGGGATTAGGCAAATTGATTTTGTACTTTCCTATGTTGATGACATAAAGAAAGACATGGACATAAAGGCGGTAAGTACTTATCTTAGAGAAACAGGAATAATAAAGAGAAGCACATTCTATAGTTTGACATGAATATCTGCACTGAGTTATGTTTTAGAAGTCAGAGGTCTCTGAAATGTTACTGAAAGCTGAAATTGGGTGAGGAAAATACAAAATAGGCAGTCTGAGAATGGGTGTGTAAAGTCAATTTTAGTTTTTGGATATCTTAGAGACTAACTTCTTTTTCTTCTTCCAAGTAACTGAGTTATTTTTTTATATACTTCAGCTTAGATTTTAAATGTGACCTCCAAAGTCTGAGGTGTGGGTCTGAATATAATATTTGCCTTTGTATCAAGGTTTTGTTTTGAAAATGTATGACTAATCCATCCTATCTTAAATAGCCTTTATATTGTGCTCTATTCCTGACCCTACTTTATTTTCAATATAACACACCACTTTCTTTACTTATACTGTTTATTCTTTTTTTATTTGTTTACTGTCTCTAACACCATAAATTAAATTCATGAGGCCAAAGACTTTATCTTGGTCATTGCTGTATATCCAAGTGCCTAGAATGGTGGTTGGATCATAATGAATGCTCAATAAATATTCGATATTTGAAAAAACATTTAACCTATTTATCTATATGTATAACCAGATGTATATAAACATGTGTGTATATATACTTATAAAGCAAATGTCATACAAAATAAAAATGAAAAACTACACGTTATCCCCATAAGACCCTGTGCGTATCCAGTTCTTTCTCTTTCCTCCACATTTTCTCTGGAAACCCTTCCACCAAGCCTCTGAAATTCATGGACTATCATCATTTTCATCTCTGTATGTTCCCTTTAAACTTGCCTCTTCATTGAGGTTTGCTGCTTCCCCTAACAGTCCTCTCAAGTGGTGGTTTTTCCTCACACAGCCTTCCCTGGAGATGAGGCTGATGCTGCTTGCCCTCTTTGTATCTTGTTCATTAGTTGATTGTCCTCCCTTGACCCTAAAATACATGAGCTTTAAATCTCGTCAGGTGTATTACTGCTCTGCCTTGTTGCTGTCATTTATTTCTTCCTGGAACTTCCCTTTTATTTCTCAACAATTCTAGGTCCTGGCTCACTGTCAATCTCTCCACCAATCCTCCTTTTTTAATCACTGATAATCTCAATGCATACATAAATGATTATTTTGGCACTCTGTCCTCTCTGTTCCTTTTGAACTACCTTTTCCAAGGATCTTAGCCTCTAACTCAGCCATTTGCTCCTCTGGAACTTGTCATTACTAATAACTACAACTATTTATGATCTCATTCTATGTGTCCAACTGTCTGACCAACCCCTCAAATCTTTCTGACCCATACCCTTCTAGGTCCAGAATCCTGCTAGTTCCAGATAAGATACAATTGTCTTACCACCTTTTTAGTGCTTCTTAGCCCTCTTTCCTATATTTATCCAGCTTCAGTTTCATGGTCACAATTATAACCATGAAGCCATCAAATCCCTTGCCCCTCTCTCAGTTGTACTTACTGGGCAAAATAATAATTTAGTTAAACCCAACTGTTCACCTACTACATGCCAGCACCCATGTGGGAAGAAAAACATGTAACTCACTGACTAATTTTTCCTTGTATTTGTGCCGTGGACCTCAACTGGGTCCTTAATGCTGTCTGGAGATCATACTTTACTTACCTATTCTGTTGTCTCCCACTCTTCTAGATAACAGTTTTATAACTTCTTCTGTCTCTTCATGCTTCCTGTGCTTCTTCCTCATCTTCAAGCTAAGTTGCCCACACTTTTCTTCTTCACTGAGAAAACTGAAGAGGAGAAATTATATAAATTTCATCACCACATCTGTCCATCCAAGAGCATTTTAACCTAAATAATCTACCTTCCTTTCTCTTTCCATAGATGAACTATTTATCCTTTTGTCTAAAGCCAAATCTTCCACTTGTGACCTGGATTTTATTTCTTCTTGCCTCTCCCAGTATCCTACCACATCTGTCCATCCAAGAGCATTTTAACCTAAATAATCTACCTTCCTTTCTCTTTCCATTGATGAACTATTTATCCTTTTGTCTAAAGCCAAATCTTCCACTTGTGACCTGGATTTTATTTCTTCTTGCCTCTCCCAGTATCCTCCGCAGGTTTAGCGATTCATTAGAAGTACAGAACTCAGCATATAGTCATGCTCATGGTTATGTTTTATTACATGGAAATAGTACAAAGCAAAAGCAGCAAAGGGAAAAGATTCATGAGGCAAGTCCAGAGTAAATCAGGAGCAAGCTTACGAGAGTCCTCTTCCAGTGGAGTCACACAGGATACACTTAATTTCTCTAGCAACAATGTATGACAAACACATGTGAAGTGTTGTCTATTGGGCAAGCTCATTAGAGACTCAGTGCCCTAGTCTTTTATTGGGGGCTGGTCACCTTGTCACCTTCTGAGTGGCATACACCAAAATCGCTAAACCTGCGGGGGATACTGGGAGAGGCAAGAAGAAATAAAATCCAGGTCACAAGTGGAAGATTTGGCTTTAGACAATCGCTAAACCTGCGGGGGATACTGGGAGAGGCAAGAAGAAATAAAATCCAGGTCACAAGTGGAAGATTTGGCTTTAGACAATCGCTAAACCTGCGGGGGATACTGGGAGAGGCAAGAAGAAATAAAATCCAGGTCACAAGTGGAAGATTTGGCTTTAGACAATCGCTAAACCTGCGGGGGATACTGGGAGAGGCAAGAAGAAATAAAATCCAGGTCACAAGTGGAAGATTTGGCTTTAGACAATCGCTAAACCTGCGGGGGATACTGGGAGAGGCAAGAAGAAATAAAATCCAGGTCACAAGTGGAAGATTTGGCTTTAGACAATCGCTAAACCTGCGGGGGATACTGGGAGAGGCAAGAAGAAATAAAATCCAGGTCACAAGTGGAAGATTTGGCTTTAGACAATCGCTAAACCTGCGGGGGATACTGGGAGAGGCAAGAAGAAATAAAATCCAGGTCACAAGTGGAAGATTTGGCTTTAGACAATCGCTAAACCTGCGGGGGATACTGGGAGAGGCAAGAAGAAATAAAATCCAGGTCACAAGTGGAAGATTTGGCTTTAGACAATCGCTAAACCTGCGGGGGATACTGGGAGAGGCAAGAAGAAATAAAATCCAGGTCACAAGTGGAAGATTTGGCTTTAGACAATCGCTAAACCTGCGGGGGATACTGGGAGAGGCAAGAAGAAATAAAATCCAGGTCACAAGTGGAAGATTTGGCTTTAGACAATCGCTAAACCTGCGGGGGATACTGGGAGAGGCAAGAAGAAATAAAATCCAGGTCACAAGTGGAAGATTTGGCTTTAGACAATCGCTAAACCTGCGGGGGATACTGGGAGAGGCAAGAAGAAATAAAATCCAGGTCACAAGTGGAAGATTTGGCTTTAGACAGACTCAGGCCCGGATCAGACTTTCTACACAACCCAGGTGCACCGGGTCTCTGGAGAGCTGGAAGTACCTATAAAGTCAACCATTAAAACTTGAGCTGCACAAAACACCTTCCGTAGGGAATCAGCAGCAAAGCAGCAATTTAGCTAAACCACACAGCTCAAGTACTGGTCCTCCCAGGAAGTTCCACCATTTTAGAAATAAGCAAAGGACAAAAAATTAGTTCCGGCATAGGCACACTGTCAGCGCCTCAGCCCACCCAGGGACCTGAGGAATGGTGTCAGGGAATGGAGTCCCCTCCCACAACCAGGCATACCTCCAGTGCCTCAGGGGCTACCTGGGATCTTGAGGCTTGGAGCTGAGGAACGGACCCTCCTCCAACAACCAGGCACACCACCAGCTCCAAGGAGCATGACGAAAACATCACCTCCATGTGGGTGGCCCACGACAGCCACCATAGTAACCACAGCTGCTGTGAAAGCAGCTAGATATCACAACCAACATGCAGATGGTCTGCCAGCTACTGGAGTGCATTGACACAAGGAGAGTCAACAGCAGAGACCAAAGAAAAGAAGAGGGTGTCTCTCTCCACAAAGCCCATTCCAGAGTAACAGAAGAAGCATCTGCTCTATGATAATTTTGGGGGACCTGAGCACACCTCTCAGCATTGGACAGATCATGTACGCAAAAAATCAACAGAGTGACGATTACTCTTGTAGAAGGAGAGAAGAAATCTAGGGCAATTGGGGGGGGGTGGGGGAAGGAGAGGAGATTGGGGTGAGATTGGACAAGGGGCATAAAGAATAAGTATGATTTGTAACAATATATATATACTAGTAATATTGATTTGATCAATATATCTCAATGTTGAACCCCCACAATATGTATAATCAATTATGATTCAATAAAAAATAAAAAGAAAAATAGACTGGATGAGATTAACCAGCTGACAAGACATTATAGAAGAAAAGACTAGTGAACTTCAAGCCATAACAAAATAAACTCCCCCCAGCCCATGAAACTAGTAAGAAAAAGAATAAAGAAAATTCTGGCATCAAAAAATAAATAAATAAATAAATAAATAAAAATAAAATTTTCATTCCACTTTATCCATAGAAATATTTCCTAATATAAATGTTTTATCCTTGAGAGTCTTTTATTGTTCATTCAGTCATAACTTTGCTACAACAAATATATGTATATTGATTGAAAAATTTCTGTTATCTTTAAGCATAATACTCTAAGCCTGAAACTTTTCCCTTAGTATTGAATTATTTTTATAATTGTACAAATGCATAATTGTTAAAACATGAATATATTACAATATTTGACAAGGAATTATCAAACATAAAAAGCAAACTCATCATAAATGCATTGACTAATGAGATAGAGGAGATTTAAAATTGTTTTCTGTATTTATAGATGAATAAGAATTGTTTCTAGAATGAGATGGTTCAGTTTCAATTATATTCCTCTTTTGTTTTTATGTATGTTAATATAAAGGAAGATTGTTCAGATAAGGAAGTAGACTGGAATAGGGTATTGTTATAGCAGTGATAATCTTTTTTGAACTCCTTAATTACATCCCAAAATTCCAAAGTGATTTATCATTAAATAATGTTCAATGGTCTGTCATCTGGCTATTAGCTCTGCTTCAATTTTATTGAACTAAGAGAATCAACAACAATCTGATTTACAAAAGCATGTGTTGCTATAATTAGAAGTTATTCAATTTCTTAATATTGATAACACTATTTTGAATGTCCGTCTTCCCTTGTTTTTTGCTTTCCTGGAAGTTTACAGTTGGCCTTGCTTTAGTAACACAGGAGAAGGGCAATTACGAAAGGGTTGCTAAAAAAGGAGGACTTGCACCAGTACCACAGGCTGTTTTCATATGTTGTAAACATTCCAAGTAGAGAAAAAGAACATACTAAAATTACCTTTTGCTCCTTTTAAGTTTTCAGAGACCTTAAGGTAGATATACATATACCCATTTGAAGATAAGTGTCCTAGAATGTCCTATTGAAGCCTCTTAAAATTTCAGTCACTCTGAAATGTTTCACACTTAAATCATAAAGATATTTGGCCATTAATGCATTGTTTTAAAGACACAAATAATGATTATTCACAGTAATGATCTATAGTTAAATTTAATTTTAGTTTTTCTAAGTGAAGTCATTCTATCCTTGAAGACTAAAGTGCCATGATGATATTTTGACTTAAAATTGTATCAAATATATGTCATTTGAAGAGTACTGATCTTTGTAGTGAGTCTTCACAAATAGGATTATGATATGTCTTTCTGTTTATAAAGTTGTTTTTTTTTTTTAAGTTTGTTTTTCAGTGAAGTTTTGTGCTTTTCTTCAGAGAGAGGTCCTGCATATTTCCTGGAGATTATTCCTAGATATATTGGATTTTTATAGTTACTATGAACTATAGTACAGTTGAAAAGTAGACCATGGCAATAAGAAAGGAGTAATATACAGAATACTTTTACATACAACCATGAGAGGGGCAGAGAACAACCCAGAAGCATAGCCATTGTGTGCTGAGTCTGTTTGTCACTGAGCAAAATAAAAGTGTTCTGCCTAATTCTATTAATTTGTTTTGTCATAGGAAAGAAGAAAAGAATTTGAACAAAATCTCAGGAAAACAGGTCTTGAGTTGGAAATTGAAGACAAAAGGGTAAATGTAGTTGTTAATTTATATCAGAATCTTATAAGTGTTATTTTTTTCTTTTTCTGGTCTTTGACTGGAGAGACTTTGTGTTTGTGGGCAGTATAATAGCTCTTTGGGATACAGGTATGTTCACTGGGATGGCAGAGCCTGTGGTCTTACAGGTAAGCAGATCAGTGCCCTGAATATGAGATGATCAGTGGAACACTTTAAAAATGGACATACATAGTTTCTATTCATGGTGCAAATAAAGTGAAGACATGGTCTTTTTTTTCATAACTGTCTCATTTTGAAGGCTGCCTATGAACTGGTACCCTAAACAGTTAACTTTACTATGTTGCAGCATAAACTGTGATTTAAGCCAAGACACTCATGAATATGCCAACTTGTTTCTAACTCCCTTTCAATTCTGTTTTTCCAGAATTTCCTTCAAAATTGTTTTTAAAGACTTATAAAAGATCCCACCCTGTTTATGAAACTTCTAGAAGACACTCATGAATATGCCAACTTGTTTCTAACTCCCTTTCAATTCTGTTTTTCCAGAATTCCCTTCAAAATTGTTTTTAAAGACTTATAAAAGATCCCACCCTGTTTATGAAACTTCTAATACTCTCTAGTTTTAATGCTTTCTAGTTCTTATTTCTCCATTTTTACTGAGCTAATAAATGTGCACTATATCACACAATCTATAACTTATTTTCCTATGTAATGAACCCTTATTACCTAAAGTTCTTTCTCTTTGTGTAGGTTGTACATAAAGTCTGGGTAAGAAGAATGAGTATATTTTATAGTTTGTGTATATTCCTCATATAACCTAAGCAAAGTTTTGAGCTCATAGCTAGTCACTGAAAGCTTAACTGATTGCCAAGAGCCACATATGTAGCTGTGAATTTAGGGCTGAGTATACGTTGACCCTGAAATATATTTATAAAAGTATTTTCTTTCTCTGTCTGTATATCTCTGTCTCTCTTCCTTTCTGTCACACACACATATATTTTGTATACATATATATACATATATATGTGAGTGTGGACATGTAAGTATAAAATATATCTGTTTTGAGAACTGGTTTTCTAAAAGTTTTGCTAAAAAATTTAAATTAATTGAAAATACTGTGACATCTTTGAGATTTTATAAAATTTTGTTTCTTTTCATTAATCAGCTCAGTAACAAACAGATCAGTAAGCTTTCTGTTATTTTGCCTGTTGCTTATGCAGGACTCTGAAGATGGAAGAACTTATTTTGTCAAGATTCATGCCCCTTGGGAGGTATTAGTTACATATGCTGAAGTGTTGGGAATCAAAATGCCTATTAAGCAGAGTGAAGCTCCCCAACCTGAGAACACTCACTTAAGCTCCATCCGTGGGCCTGTGAAGCTTCCAGTGAAAGTGAAATATCCTCATCCTGAATATTTCACTGCCCAATTCAGCAGACATCGGCAGGAGCTCTTCCTCATTGAAGATCCAGCAACCTTCTTTCCATCTTCAACAAGAAACAGAATTGTAGGTAGAGAAGACCTTTGGGCACATCCCTTCAAGTACAGGATGTGTGCCTGTGATGCTTTCATACATGTGCATGTGAAATACTATGTCTGCAAGGGGTTTCTGTGTAGAACAGGAGCATTTGGTGGGATTGGGATGTTTGAAAGTCTGGACCACGTAAACTTGTTAATCTCTCTACCTCTCAAACCGTTGTTTAGAAATTAAAGGTTGACAGTGTGTATACAGTAAAGAGGCATTATGTGACACTTCAAAAAAAGCAATTGAGGGGCCGGCCCGGTGGCGCACTGGATAGTGCGCCACTTGGGAAGCACGGCGGCGCTCCTG